ATTAAAAGATGTCAGCCTTAAAATAGTAAGTGAGGATGTCAGACATATCTTTTATTAGGATCACTGACAAAAAAATGTGTTTAGTGTTTATTTATATGCTTTATATACTATCTGTTTATTAATATACTTGCTTATACAAGGGTCAGTTATCATGGTGGATTACATTCTGCTGGTAATTGCTTCTTGTATGCAGCAAAAACCATAATGCCAATCCAAATGGAACAGAATGACACATAAGGTTGCACAGGACAGCAAATATGGTCATGTACAAATGTTGCATTTGACCCAACACAATTTAGAAGTTTTCCATTGACTTTGAATACAGATCGATTTAAACATAGGAACATGTGTCCAAATCAATGAGAGAACATGGGGGGAAAAAATTCTCTCTCATATAGTAATGATAGCAATACTCAGGGTTGTGGTACTTGTACACTAGAAAATCTGCTTAAGGTATTCCAGTGTAGGAGGCATCAAAAATATGTGTTGACCCACAATTATCTCTTATGTCTTCAGTGATGGCCAGGTCATCAAATGTACACATGTATCAGATAGTAACATAATTGTAACACTGTATAGTTTCCCTGTCAGCTGCGTTAGATGAGGTTTTATTGTATATACAATCTGAATGCTAAATTCTGTTCTCTGTAGACCTGCATATCTAATTATATTGCCATATTTACACTGCCCAAATAAGTCCCCATAAGTTTGAATGAATATTTCGTTTGTCACTTGGCCTACTAAAAACATTGCACATATGACATGGGTGGAGAAAGCAGCTATATACCCAACAAGAGTGCATGCTAACCCTGACATAGGCTGTAAACACTATCCATCAATGGAGTTACTAACACAAAGTGAATTGTATATAGTAGAATGCCCCTTCCTAAAGTGCACCAATGCTCAGGTTTAAACATGTACAGGGAATGTTAACGAAACATAGCCTATGCCACACATGAATGGATGTTTAATCAGGGGTTGATCTAACCTCTGTCCACACTTTAGTAAATCAGGCCTTGCCATAATCTAGCCATACACTACCTAAGTACTAGTTGTAATAGTACAACTTCAAGCCCCTGTAACAGGGTAGAAGTAAATGTAAGGGTTAAAAAAGGGCACTAAAGAGAGTCTGTGTGTGATGTCAGTCTTCATTTTTGATGTTTTTTATCATACTGAAATTTTTGTGCGGACAGTTAACAATGATTCCCTTTTAAGAATTAAGGAAGGATTATTCCAGGGGTAGGCAACCTAGGCAATTCAGCTGTGGTGGAACTACAAGTCCCATGAGGCATTACATATGAGGAGGGTCAGATCCCCCATCTTTTATCAAATCAAAGGATAGATCTGGCCATTTGTAGCCTGCATTAGTCATTGATCTTCGTATATATGTGCATTTTAATTATAGTTCCATTATACTGTATACTGTATACAGTTTATAAAAATGTAAATGTATCTGTTAGTTTTTGTGAGTAACAATTTTTATTGTCACCTCAGAAAACTGATTTCCTCTTAAAACAATATGTGAATAACCCAGAGATGGCATTATACTGTAGAACAGTCAAAGGCCATAGCGCAGTAATTAGCTCCCTCTATTGGTAAGACGGTATACTGCAGCAGTTGGTGCTTACTAACCTGTATGTCATTACACAAATGGAATAAAATGACACTCTAGTACAAGACAGAGGGGCAGATTTACTAAAGCAGAATAGTTTATTCTTAAATGTGAATATTCGCTTAGCTCAATAAATAAGCTGAAGTCATGTTCATTTCAGTTCGCAAGTCATGAGAAACATAAAGTCCTGTTTTTTCTTTTTTTTATTGCCCTTGAACATGATTGAGCATTCACATCTTCACCTTATTCACTAAGTAAGGGAACTTTTACCTCGCAAAGTGAACAGCCTCTACTCCTTTAGTAAATGGAGTTTGTAAACAGAGAACGTAGTGTCCAGTCTTATAACTATCTATGTAATGCTGGTCAAAAATATTACAATCTCGACGGTTCGATCATCGGACGAAAAGTGTCGTCCGCTGATCGCAAGGTGTATGGACAGCCTTAGATCTAACCAACAACTTTGTAGTGCAAGGACCTGCCTGATTGCATACACATTGATTGGGTAGTTCAGGCAGGTACTCATATTCCATAGCTTTGGTGAATCTCTGCTTTGTGGGCAGGGTGCCAATCTATATACTTCTGAAATAAGTACTGAGTACTGAGCTTGGTGCAGGTTTTAATATAGTATATATATATATCACTGGGTGAGAATACTAGAAATGTATCTTTTGTGTATTTCTATTCATTGTTTTCTATACAGGAACTTTTTCTTCTTATAGACGGGCTGATATCTCCACTGTGAGGACACACCGTGGACTCTCTGTGATACTTGTCCTGCTGTGACAATGGTTCCTATGCTGTACTTTGATGCTTCTTTCTTCTCCATAGGAGAGTTAAGGATTGAGGCCCGCTCTTTGTGCAGTGTTCCAGTGACCAGACATGCACAGAAACGGTTTCATTATTGCCACTGATGCTCCGCCAGCTATTATCTGTATGGCTGTCTATAGCTGCTCTGAGAGCTCAGGGTACTGCTGCACCTCACACTCCTGACTTGTGTGATATTATTATCACAAAGAAGCATCATTCCCTTTTTCTGGAAAGAATTAACAATTTGGAGTAGGAAGCACAATAGTTTTAGCGCCACTTTGAATTTTTTTTTAATGCACTGCTTTTGTAAACTGTGTATTTGTCACAAGCAATGCCACTGTTTCAACCAGCTGGCTCAGTGCACAAGATCAGTTCAAAAAAAAGTAAAATACATAAAATTTTATTGCAATTCTTAGCATACAGTTTACTGCTTTGAGAAATCTGCTTATTGCAGTTGAATAATGACTAATCATTGCCTTTAGATCAGGGTGGGTAACTCCGGCCTTCTAGCTGTGCTTTAACTACAAATCCCAACATCCTCTGGGAGTCATGCCTGCCACTGTCAGTCTTGCAGTGCCTCATGGGACTTGTAGTTCCACAACAGTTGGAGGGCCGGAGTTGCTTTAGATCAATGATATTGAAAGCATTCACTGTAATGCTAGAAATGTTTTGGAACATGTTTGGCAAAATTGGCTAATGATAATAGATATAAAATGAGCTTTGTGCTGACTTGTTGGCATTCACAGCCAACAGCCACTTGATACTGCAGCATTGCCTTGAATATTTGTATTAAATCCCTTCAATAATGTATGGCCAGCCACAGTTGTTTTTTCTGCTGGTTGCTGTGGGTAACGTCCCCAGTAATATTATTTGCGAGGTGAATAACCTCTATACTTCTATCCTTCTTTCTTGCCTCTACCCATCCAGTTTTTCCTCTTTCCCATCTGCTCTTTTTGAATAGACTCAATGCAGTTTTCCTGGCAGCCACCATATATGAGATGAAACCACGATTTTCAGTGTTCCAGTTCACAACTATGGACTGGCATCAGTATACCTGTATATGTAAAAAAGAGAAATGAATATCAGATGGAATCTGTACAGGAGGCCACCACATTTAGGGTGGATGGATGCAAGAGAACAAATCATTTACCTTGTGCGCTATAGCCATCCATTTGCCAAGAATTCACTTTTTGCATACCTATACCCCCTTAAAAATACTGTAAAACCAAATATGTAAAATAAGAGAAGGGGATATTTATAGTATGACAGTACTCATTACTAACACAGAACTAAAGGGGTTTTAATGTTTATTGTTTCACATTTTTATGTGACATGTCTGATTATGGTCAAAAAAGGTTGTTTTATGTGAGAAGATTGCGGTGTGCTGGGGTTATATCTTCTCCTTCAATGTTTATTTGATCACTTAGAAAATTCTTTAACATTCACAGATTCTCTTTTTTAAAACCATGAGTGGACCCAATGCAACACCACTGTTTTATAACAGGAATAAACAACCTCGGCACTCCAGCTGTGGCAAAACTACAAATGCTAGCATGTATTTACCTCTGAAGGCATGCCTGTGGCTATCAAAATCTTGCAATGCCTCATGGGATTTGTAGTTTCAGCACAACTGGAGTGCTGAGGTAGCCTATCCCGGTGTATAGTCTACATCACAGATAAGTGATGTTGATCCCTATTTAATCTTGCCTATGCTGATTTTCATCCCGCACGTTTCATGGAACAAAGTCCACTTTTTCAAGGATGCACATGCAGTTCAAGTAGAGAGAATAGTCTCATATAATGAAGCATATAAAACACGTTTTAAGAATTACATCCTTAACCATGTCCATGCAAAGGAGGATTTTGCATAAGATGAACATTGCACACAAATGGTTAAGTATATATTTCCTGAAACAATTTTATATGATAGATGAGACTATTTTCACCACTTGTACTACATGTGCATCCTTAAAAAAGAGGAGTTTGTTCCCAGAAACACTTTGGATGAAAAGCAGTGTAGGCAAGAATATTGATGATGTATATTTTACAACAAGAGGGGGCCACCTCAGCTCTACAGCTGTGGAGAAACTACAAATCCCATGAGGCATTGCAAGACTCTGACAGCCAAAGGCACAATTCCCAGCAGCAGAAGCATGTTGGAATTTGTAGTTTTGCCACAGCTGGAGTGCTGAGGTTGCCTACCCCTGCTATGCAATAAGGGTGTTGCAGTGTGTCCTCTTATGGTTTTGAAAAAAGAGAATCTGTGAATGTTAAAAAATCTTCTTTTGTGCAAACAATACAATTGGAGACGCTTTTATTTATATGTTAGTAGTGAGTACTCGCACACCCCCGCCCCCCTCTGTTTATACAGATTTGGTTATTACAATACTGAGAAGGAATGAATGCACAGTCACATCACCTGTGAGCCTAAGTAAGCTGTATTACCCCAGACGGCCATCAGATGGCAGCAGACCCCCCTACACCTGGATAAGGACTCGAAGCAGTACAGTCATCTGGCTAGGTGTGTGTGATAGTGGAAGGGCCCCTGAATGTCCTGTGCTGTGAGCCCACCCTATCCTAGAAGCGGGGTCTTCTGCTGAAAACCCCCATACACACCGCCGTGGGGCAGTGGCTGCCTATAGGTCTCAGGGCCGTCCTCCAGCGATAGGGTTAATTGTAGGGGATGGAGCCTATGTAAGGAGGAGACTTCCTGTATGCGGACTGAGCAAGTCAGAGTGAAAGCAGTTAGAGGAATCGGATCTGTCCGCACACTGCCAGTAGAATTCAGCGAAAAGTAGCCGGAAGTTACTTGTCTCCCAGCTATAGCACAGCAGAGACATGGCCGGCATGACTTCACTGGAGGCCGTCAAGAGGAAGATCAAGAGCCTACAGGACCAGGCAGATGTGGCGGAGGAGAAGGCAGAGATAATGCAGAGAGACCGGGACACGGAGAAGAAGCTCCGAGAGGCGGTAAGGATCTCCTCTGGATTGCTGGCAACTGGTCGCCATTCATTATGGCTGTGCAACGCATTCCTCGATGTTTTCTCTGGTGGTCCATTCTAGGCAAGCTGTGTGCCCGATCTGGCTGCTGTGTTCCCAGCCACGCCCATCTCCCCTACAAGGGACCTGTAGAACTTTCTACCCCCCTCTGGCCGCTCATCACAGGGTGTCGTGCCCTTTAGCCTTTCTCAGCCTTACACACCTTTTTAGTATTGGAGTAGTGCCCTCTGATTGCTCCTTTTAATGATCCTGATCAATGAGCATTGGAGTAGTACCTTCTGATTGCTCCTATAATGATCCTGATCAATAAATATTGGGAGTTCCCTATGATTTCTCCTTTTAATGATCCTGATCAGTGTTTATTGGAGGAGTTCCCTCCGATTTTCTCCTTTTAATGATCCTGATCAATGAGTATTGGAGGAGTTCCCTCTGATTTCTCCTTTTTAATAATCCTGATCAGTATTTATTGGAGCAGTCCCCTCAGATTTCTCCCTTAATTACCCTGATCAGAGTTATTTGGAGCAGTCTCCTCAGATTTAATGATCCTGATCAAAGTTTATTGGATCAGTTCCTTCTGATTGCTCATTTTTTAATGATCCTGATCAGGGTTATTTGGAGCAGTTCCCTATGATGTAATGATCCTGATCAATATTTATTGTATCGTCCAGATCATGCAGGGCAGATGTCAATGCTGGATCTGACAGAGTGCTTGGGACATGGATATGCTCCAGCATTAATACCTTGTTGTATTTATCTTATAATCGGCCTATTGAAGTGTCGTTTTTAGTAGTATTTGTTTGTTAGATTTAGTGTACAATGATCATGGTGGTTGGTCCCAAGAGCTTGCAGTTAGTGTGTATGTTGTGTATGGTATCTACCCTCCAGGGCAGTTTGTTTCCAGGCAGAGAGGGAGGGGATGTTGGGGCCTGTGACTGTACTCGAGAATTTCAGGCATGCAACAAGGCTCATCTGGACAACAGAGTTAACCCCTTATCTCCCTCATCTACCTGGGGTGTGGTGCCGTGTGTGTGTGTGTGCTTCCAAAGTCATTTCCTTTACTTGTGCTTAGGTCGTGTCATGTGTTATACTTTTATTATTGATTTCTTATAATACGTATGGCTGGGTTGTTTTACTAAAAGTGTTTTGCATTAGTTTTAAACAAGACTTGCTCTCACATAAAAAGGCAGCAGTATACATGTTTAGTGTATATACCCCTAACGTACACTGCCTGGTAGGATATGGAATGTGTGTGCCTTTTGGTTCAATGGAAACCAAGAAACCCTACCGCCTTCCTGTATAGTAGTAAGAAAATGAAAGTGATCTGATCTCATTGATGCTTGCAATTTAAAGCTGAACTCTAGGCCGATCTAAAAGACACATACACAGCTCTGTAATCCTAATACATCAGTTAATGTATTTTTAAATGTAAGTACCTGAATTTGACCTGGTATTAGTCTCTTGAAGTCCCTGTACAGCAGGGCTGGAGTGTGAGAGGAAGAAGCAGTCAATCAGTTCATGTGCTGACAAAACGAATGCGGATAGGAGAAAGCAGAGAGATGAACGCATCACTGTGCTGCTTCTCCTTTCACTGTCCAGACACAGGCAGCGGACGGGTCCAGAATGACCTGGGCTCAGAGAAAGCGGGTTGAATGATGCTGGCCATGAGACCGAAGACATCTAGTGGCCGCAAAAAAGTGCTGCGGGGAAATCTCTGGATGGAAGGCGACTTTTAATGGACTATTCCGTTTAATCTTTATTTTTGGCTAGAGTTCTGCTTTAATACTCTCAGTAACTCTACCACCTTGGGTAACCTGACCCATGTCTTCAAGAGATAATGCTGCACTTCTGCTTCTCTTACCTACAAAGGAGAAGATGTATTCAGGGCCCATTCCCATTCAATGCATTTTGATACCTATTTTAGCACGTTAAAAATGCATATACACATAAAATAGTGAGTTTTCAATGGTGTAGTTCCCACCAGTGTGTTGCAGCTTTAAAAAATAGAGCGATTTCTTGCACCGTGTGTAAACACACGCAAACACATTTAAATGCATTTTTAAAAAATAGGAGTATGCTTGCATGCGTTTTTGTGCGATTTTGGGAGAAATGGGCCCTTAAAGTGGACTGCATTTTCTGGCCTCTTACCTAGGTGGGAATAACATGGCCGTAATGCCCACAGCCTCCTTGGATACTTGTACCATACATCCCAGGAGGCTTAGGGGGCCATCTACCTCCCATTGCATGGCGGCATGTCATCAGGGGGCCAGCTGCAAGAGCATGGAAGAGACAGCCAGCCACATGATGATGTAACAAAGAAAGATGGCAGCCCGGGCCCCGGCCTGCAACAGACAACGCTAGGTTCGTTGAGTATGTTTTGTAAGGACAAATCGGTGGATGAAGTAAGAGGGGGCTGAAAGAGGGGTGACGTTCCTATTTAAATAACAAATGATTTCAAGTTTCTTATTACTAGAAAAGCGGAGGTAAAAGTGGCAAGCCTTTTTATAATGTCAGAATGTCTCGTTTTCATCTAAGTTCCCTTTTTTTTTCTTCAGAAAGCAGATGTAGGAGTTGCAGAGCAGGGCCGGTTATGTCTGAGGTGTATGTTATTGCCGGGAGGAGAACTTTCCTCGCCTTATAAGGCCACAAGCCCGGCCTTGTCATTATATAGATGTGTCCTTCCCTCTAGAGGCCACAAATCCTCAAGTGACACAACAGGAAGCACTCCAGCTAACATTGCATTTCATTCTTGTAAGGCAACTTTTTCTGGGCTACATTGTCTAGTTGTCACTTTGATTAAAGTAAAAGAGAAAACTATGCTGCAATGTTGGTGTATGGCCAAAACTGCTCAATCCGTCTCCAGTTCCTGCTTTATGTAAAAAATAGTTGTAGCCCGATTGTAGATGATTAAATCTCCTACGGGGAGAAGGGGATCGCAGGATTGGCTTTTTTATCTTCTTTTTTTTTTTCTTGTAGTCAAATAGTTAATGCAATCTTTACAGAGGGACCATATAATCAGTCCTTCAAACAACATGCAAATATTTAGCTACCATGTGCCTGATGTGTAAAGAGAGAGAGTCTTCTGCTTAACTCTTTAATGTCGGTTTCCAAAATATAGCTGCAGTCTTGTTACTACCGGATTTTTTTTAGAGAAAACGTCAGAAGTTAGGCCTCGGCTATAATTTTTAAGGAACATTGGTGACCTGGCTCCTGGGATTTGTCCAGCCCTGCGTTTTAAATCTCTAGTGAGAAAATCGCTAAGGCTCCGTTCACACCTAAGCGTCTGTTTCAGGCAGTTTATTTTTAGGCGTTCTCTGATAATCTTTAAGGGTGTTTTTTTTTTTTTTTTTTTTTTTTTTTTCCAAGCCTTTTGTCGTGTGGTTTTGAGCTTGTGCTCTCCTCCATTTGGTTCCCCAGTGTTTTTTTTTTGCAGAGGTGGGCTTGCTCTTGCACAACAACTAAGTGACAATTTGCTCAAAAAGCATGTGAAAACACTTGTGTAGTTTGTTTTCAGTGGTTTCCATTGAAATCTATGGAGCCAATAGCACATTACTCAGCAGAAAAGTAGCTCATGTACTTCTTCCAGCAACAGGCATTTTCTTACAAGCGACATAATGCTTAGGTGTAAACAAGGGCCATAGAAAACAATAGGATTCCTTGTGTTCAGCATTTTGTAGCTCCACGCTTTGAGCTACAAAATCCCTAGGTGTGAACGGGGGCTAAAACTGGCCATGCACTGCTTGAATTTTGGCTGAGTCCTGTAGTCTGTACTCATTGCACTGGGGGGCGGGGGAAGGTATCTAAAATATTACATTGAGCTGTTTGTAGGCCCTGTCAGCACTCCTCTATTCAACAAAAGTAGATTTTCGTTCCAATTGTGGAAGGCTCTGTTCCAAATACTGTATTCTCAATTAAACAGTGCAGCCAATCGGCAGCAGTCGATTTTTGGGTATTCTGAGAGCAGCACATCCTCCGGTGTCAGAATACAATAGCTTGGGGGGATCCATTAGGGATCCTTTAGTTTCGGACAGTGGGGAAGAAACATCCATTTAGTGAAGGCGTTGTTTAGGGCCACACAGTGTGGTTACCTGCGCTATACCACACCAGATCAATGCAGGGCACCGCTAGGACACATAGAAAGCAATTGTTTTCTATGTGCCCCAGTCTCATTTCAACACAGTAGGTAATGTGCTGCAATAAAATGCGAACATGTTTTAACGCAGCGCACTGGATGCCCCCGCAGAAAGCCGCACAGCAGTGCATTGCGCTGTGCGGGGACCTGAATGGAGTGTACACATTGTACGCGCCATATAAAGTTTAAAAAAAGGGGGGGGAAATGTAAACAGTGACTGCTCCAGTAGTGTGTAATGCAACACAGTGCCGGAGCTGTCACCGCACACTAGCTTGTCCTCTGAAGCGGTGCGGGCGGCCTAGCATAAATGGGCCCTTAGGTTTCCCACTTGTACATTGCAATATTCTGTGCATTTTAGATTGACACCCCAACAGTAGCTGCCAACTCGCCTGCCCCAGAGTTGTCCAAAATGCTGCAGGTACAGTGTTTCATGCATTAAAAGCGGGCTATGGGGTAGCCTCTTTATGCCATAGTTCTCTTTAGGGTTATGGGAGGACATATACTAACCTCCTCCCGTGACGCAAAGCTCAGTACATACTGAGTGACGCACCCGGGACGGATCACTACAATACTGTCTGACAGCGGGCTATGCCTAGCTAGAGGCAGAGCCACCTGTTACCGCTCCCTCCCCCGTCCGTTCCTCCCGTCAGCGCTGAAGGATCGGAGAGGGGACAGGGGACATCCCTGCAGGGAGCGGTGACTGACAGTCACTGCTTCCTGCAGGGAGATGATTGGGAAGTGAGCAAGCGACGGTATGTGTTCATTCATTTCCCGATCTAGAGTCGACGTGTGACAGTTTCAATGTCACAGGTCGGCTCTAACTATGAGTGTAAATCACTCACCTCCTAGTTCTCCTTTTAATTTCCTCTAGTGGTTCTGTTAAAGGAGAACTATGGGGTCAGTGTTTTTCCCCATAGTTCTCCTTAGGGTAACGGGAGGACACAAACTAGCGTCCTCCCGTTACCCTAAGCTCAGTATACCGCAAGCTACAGCTCGCGGTATACTGAGACGCCGGAGCGGATCCCGACATGGACGTCGGGATCCGCCCAGCTGCGTGAGTGACAGCTGGCTCTGCCTATCTAGAGGTAGAGCCAGCTGTACCCGCCCCCTCCCCCGTCCGTTCCGCCAGTCAACGCTGGCAGATCGGAGAGGGGAATCCAGCCCCTCCCCCTGTCACGGCAGAGAGCCGTGACAGGATCGAGGGGTGAGCGAAGGCCGGTATGTGTTCGCTCACCTCCCAATCTACTGAGCCGACCTGTGACAGTCTCATTGTCACAGGTCGGCTAGAACTATGAGGTGAGTGAAAATCATCTCATAGTTCTCCTTTAATGCAGAGGTGTTTCCAGCAGCAGAATCACCTTTTTTATAGTTTATTATATTTTAGTAAAAATATATATATTTTTCCAGTTGTATCCAGTATTCCAGTGCACTTCATGTGATATTCATTTCGATATAGCCCAGCACATTCTTCGGCTCTCACCCAGCAGTCACTGCTAACCCGATAAAGCAGGCTTGCTTGGAATGGACTGCAATAAGGTTTACAAGTGCAATACATTGTTGCTAATTTGACAGCATCCTGCATTTTCTGTTCATCCAGTTAGCATTGCTCTGGCAAGTAAAGCGGTTAGTGCTAATTTTATAATGCTAAAGGCTGTATGGCTTGAGGCTCATAGCTCTGGGATATGCAGTAAACAGGACTGATCAGCTATGATTTTGTACAGCTGTAAGGCTGCCTATAGACAGACAGAGAATGACTGGAAAGAAGAGATTTGGTGGGGAATAAAGACCTACTGCCATACTTGGCGGATAATAATAACTGTGGGTACAAAAGTTTGATTCTTCCATGTAAAGTGGATGCAAACCGCTTTGTCATTTTAATTTTTTTTTGCTTTAATGTGCAAGTATGCTGTGGGGAACACCTATCTTAAGCGCTCACTCGCACACGCTGTGCGGTGCCCTGGCACAGAGCTGAAACGCTGATCCCAAGTGACATTTCATTCAATTCTACGGGCACAGTGGGGTGTGAGGTGGTTGTACCGTGTCGCATAACGCTGCATTGGGAAAAAGTATCATGTCATGCCTTTTTTTTTTTTTCCCCCCCCAACACACACCTGTGTTCCTACCGCAATGTGGTGGTGTGAATGGGCACCATCCATGACCAGGCAAATTGCCTTGTCTTGCATTGGGGCTGCGCTGGAAACAGTCAGTGAAGCTCCAATGCAGATTGTGTGAACGGGCCCTAAAATTTGCCCTTTTCCATCGATCTTCGATCCTCCACACTGCTGCAATCTCCATCACCAACATTTCGGAGTGGGTGGCCACAGTTAATGATGTAACTCCGATACATGTGCACAGGAGTTGCACCCTCCCAGCACATTCACGGCATCTTAGGCTGGGTTCACACCTAGGCGTATCGAATATGCGCGTTTTGTCCATAGTCCGCGATTCGCGGTAAAAAAAACCATGCGACAAACGCGTGTTTCAGAGGGCTACTTGGCTGTATCCCAATGAAAACGCCCCAAAGAAGCTCCTGTACTTTTTTGGGCGCTTTGTAGCGCGTTCATAGCGCGCGCTACAAAACGCCCAGGTGTGAACCAGGCCTTTGGCCTGGTTCACACCTAGGCGTTTTTAAGCAGTAGGAAAAGCACTTTTAAACGCCCAACACCAGAAATCCCATGATTTTCAATGGCCCCTGTTCACACCTGAGCAGCGAAACGCCAGCAGGAAAAGCCAAACGCAGAAAAAAGTACATGAGCTGCTTTTTGGCAGTTTCAAGCTCGTTCCCCCCATGTACTTGAATGGAAACGCACAGCAGAAGCATGTTGCACATTTTCGCGCATGTTTTTGCGTACGTTCTTCAATTTACCACAATGTTTCTTAAGCTGCCAGTCAAAACATGCGTCTGTGTGTGATTTTGACACACATAAAAATGTGCAAATAAACACAGACTGAACCCGCACGCACAAATGCGCAACAACGATGCCGCCTAGATGTGAACCAGGCCTTCGAGATGGGACCCCTATATGGAAGTGCCTGGAAAAAAAAACCCCTCAAGCTTAAATATACGCGCCTGTAAACGCTTCCACTAAAGTGTGAATGCAGGTTAGAGAGGAGGGTTAATACTCGCACATAGTTTTATAGGGTGGATTCTTCACTGCAAACATGTCATTAGCCTTGGTGGCCCGGCATGGAGACTATATTGTAACTGCCAAGAATGTGACGTTCCATGAAAATACACACTATCTTTATGTTTAGTCCTATATGACCTGATCATAGAAGACATTCTGTGTTCAGCATTCAGGGAGACTCTAGAATTTTCAAAGTTCTCAGCTACAGATGTGTAAATGGCCCGTTCTGAAAGAGGAAGTTGCGAGAAGAGTTTGCATTCAGTTTTGAGAGGTGTATAACCACATCCTACACACACATACGTTTGTGTATACTCCCTTGCATGTCCTGTGCAAACTTGCAAATGATCTTGTTAAATATATAGATCTTAACTGAGATGATAACACTAGCATACTCCACCCTGGTTCCACTTGATAACGGCTAACTGTCTGGCGTTATTGTCTAGCATTAGCATTTTTAGTATTTTACGTAAAATATGCATGCATGCATGCACCCGCGTTTACTTATAACACAGTAGTGAGGTTTTGTATAGTGCGGTGTTGCATCTTGGCAGATCACATCGGAAACTGTTTCAAAAATCCATCATACAACTCGAATAAGCTGACTCTACAACCAGAAAGACATGGCAGCCTGGAAGGAGTACAGGAGAATATTCTCTGCTATAACATAGTCTCAATGCTGTGTTACCTGGCAGAAAAATGCTTTGTACGTGTCAGTTACTCAACACAAAATGAGCTTTGCCATCATATGGAATAGTATGGTAGCTCAGATTTGTTTTATTTACTAATATGAACAGTGGACATTTCTAAACTTGATAACATTTCCATAAAGGATAGCTACCTCCTAGAACAAAAAATGTAATCTATTGCAGCTTGCCAGTTCTCAGATATAGTAGCTGCATTGGTTTTCTTTTTTTCAGGCTAAGTATATGTTCTGCAAATGCAGGAAATACCAGTTGATCTTGTCAGACTTCCAGTGTCTTTGTCACTTTCTGTGCACTGAACTGATGTTATCAGCTTTGCCAAATATTTTCTTTGAATCACAAAACGCCTCCTCTCTAATCATCACCATTATGTAGAGGATGAGGTATTTGTAGTTGAAATCTGGAGCGCAGTCTAGTGACAAAGCTGCTCCACCATACATACAGTACAATGGGTGATGTTGTCACTCTAGGACAGGAAGTGTTACCAGCTGGATTACTGGGGGAAATGAGCCTGAAAAAAAAAGAAAACTAATGCAGCCACCACATCTGAGAACTGGTAAACTGCATGCAATACATTACATTTTTGGTTATAGATACAATTTATTTACAGATAATTTTATGAATCATTTGTAAAAATACTGGATAATTGCAACATTGTGAAATGTTGTTGCATCTCTAGCTATGAGTCTGGACGTGTTGTAGAAGGCATTAGATGTGCACAATTCTGGACATCTAGGGTTTCAGGCACGATACAGAACACTTTCTGTTGAAGCTAACCGTCTTACACAGTTTTACATCAAGGTTACGCAACTTTTGGTCTCTAGTTTTACAAGTGTCAGCATGTAATGTAACTTCCATAACAGCTGGAACACCACTGCATACATGGCATTCCATGTAGTCATCTGTCTTTAGTGAGGGCTCATTCAGACCACTGCATTACCATTCCATTTAGTGATCTCTCGCTTTAAGGGACCATTTAGACTACCATAAAGTCCAAATCCCATTCGCACTGCCACGGTCTCAAAACCACAAGGTATATGTGGTGCCCAGGTGACCACACGGATGGCGCTGTGCAAAACACTAATAGTAAATAAAAGTAAATCACCGGTATACACTTGAAGGGTTTTTAAAGTATTGATATGTTTATTCAATACCCAATGTCACATACTGTCATACGGTGATATATGTGACATTAAAAACCCTTCAAGTGTGTGCCGGTGATTTACTTTTATTTACTATTACTGTGTTACCATAGCACACAGTTTACTGTGCATTACCATAATGCATAAAACCATGTGCGTTGCAGTGCTATTCATTTTGAATGGCTACCCAGCGTATGTTTTAGCACACCCCTTTTTAGCACTGCATTGATTAAAATGCTGCAAGTCCGTTCAAACCTGCGTTGTGGTACATTGGACGCCCATTCAGTGTAAGTAAACTGCCTTACGGCAACTGACGTCAACACCCATGTGGTAACACACTGCAGCCATCTGAATGTGGCCCGAGTCCGTCATGTTGTTGCACTTACCTGATGTTTCTATTTTACTCTTGTTACTCTAGGCTGAAGCAGATGTAGCCTCATTGAACAGGCGTATCCAGCTGGTTGAGGAGGAGTTGGATCGTGCTCAGGAGCGTCTGGCCACAGCTCTTCAGAAACTGGAGGAGGCTGAGAAGGCTGCAGATGAGAGCGAAAGGTGAGTTTCCTGGGCTTCTCTCCCATCACGTTTACTTGTGTTCATTAATCCAATTATATCTTGATAAAATAATACAAATTCTTACTTTTGATGCATTCAACCATTATTAGGTCTAGTTTATTTCATTCTTTTGCATATAAAATATAGCTGAATATGGTGACTGCAAAAAGGTATCATTTGCAAAGACTAATTCTGATTTTAGTATTTGTGCCATTTTTTTTTTTTTCAATGGATTGTGTAACTCAAAGTAGTTTTAGGTACGCTCTTAAAATTCCTGCAGTGTGCCATGCATAGATTCAACATCATCATATTTCAGTCTTGTTGCGACTTCATAAAGGAAGCGGTGATGGTGGCAATAGTTTGTGGTTTCTAATGTTTCATGTGGTTTCTAACATTACAGAGGTATGAAGGTCATTGAAAACAGAGCCCTGAAGGATGAAGAGAAGATGGAGTTGCAGGAGATCCAGCTGAAGGAAGCCAAGCACATTGCTGAGGAGGCTGACCGCAAATATGAAGAGGTGAATTTTTCACTGATCCTATTTCTCTGGACAGATACGCACCAGTGAAGGAGCACTCCTTATTCTGTTGGCCAGCACTGAAGGCCAGTTTTAGAATTACCATGAATGTTTTATATATTTTTGTATTGCTTTTTAAAGACTTTCTTTGTGTAATAGGTCGCCCGTAAGCTTGTGATCATTGAGGGTGACCTGGAACGTGCAGAGGAACGTGCTGAGCTGTCAGAAAGGTAGGTGCCCACTTGTGTACAGCGCATGTCTCTAAACCTTATCACCTATTTGCCCTGCACACTGTAACCTTACTCCATAGCACTTTGGAGATGTTTGCATTCCCATTTTATGCATGTAACACTGCCGATCTTCCTAAGCTGGTGTTATCTGCTGGAAAACAAAATAAAATCTCCTAGTAGGTTCAGCTGAGTTTAACTTGACACTAGGACATACTTTGATACAGTCCAGATTTAATTTGATGGAACGGAATGAAGGTTACTGGATTAACCATCTGCAATAAACTATTGCACTATACAGTTACTTGAAATTCAGAAAGTAATCTGGATGCATACTTAGTGTCAGTGTTCCTGGCTGATAATTGGCTTTTTTTGTTGCCTTCATGTAAGATATATTTCTGCAGGTCCCCATACGTTGTAAAAATTGCCACTTGGCTGGCTAGCTCGATCATGTCTGTGACATCAAATCTAAAAGGTTTAGGTATTGAGCAAAACAACTAAATTGGGGGGAACAATACAGGCAGTGCTAGGGTGACCAGAGAGCCTGACAGATGCGTTTATCATAATGTACTGTATAGTCAGCGTGTCATGTCAATGAGCTGTTTTTACAAAATGGGGAACATGGCAAGTAACATCCTTCTTTTAGAACCAAATATCTGTAGAAAGGCTATGGTTAATGTTAAGCCTAGGGGCCTACATGCTATGTTCATTGTCTACTATTAGCAAATCAGGACTGATAACCCAACTTTTGGTAGCCATTGCAATACAATTTCATTTTTAACGCGTTTGCAATTTTACCCAACCACGTGTAACAATGTGTTTTTCTTTGCATGCTCCACATATTGTGAATGGCTTGTTCGCTCCTTCCTTATTTCATGCACTCATTAATAGTCGCTGTCGGCAGCTGGATGACCAGCAGAGAATAATGGACCAAACGCTGAAAACACTAATAGCTTCAGAGGATAAGGTACTGCTGCCAGTCTGAGCCCTGTCTTTATCCTCAGCTACTGGGCTTCGGTTCTCCTAACTCCAACTCAAGCAGTATTCTTCTGTGCTTTATTCTTGCTACAGTGTCTCCTTATGACCCAAATGTTTTTTTTTCTACTGTATTTATTGCTGATGCGGAGAGGAAAAGCTGCATGTTCAAAGATGTCTAGTGTGTTGTTTTCACATTAAGTATATTTAACATCTTGGAGAAAGAAAAATGGGAACAAATTCTTGCCCAGGGTGACCAGTCAGATTCAGTGCTCAACATCTCCTGCTTTTTGGCTCCTGTTTTCTCCATTGATTTTAGAACTACCGGTAGCTCCCTATAAAGAGTCTACTTTACTATACAAAGGCTTTGCATAGTGTATGTTTGTACAGACTCTACATTTTATTTTGGAATGTTTTGTCTGCAGGCACTCCATATCTTTTGAACTATAACGCAGCTTTTTATCTTGGCTAAGTAACAATTTTTTTCTTTTTTTTTGGTTTGGTATTTCATTCCTTTCTCTCCTCTTTCAATCTCCAATTTTTCTGTTTATTCCTGCCACCTCTGTCTTACACCCCACCCCATCCAAATAGCAAATGTGCCGAGCTTGAGGAAGAGTTGAAAACTGTCACCAACAACCTGAAATCTCTGGAGGCCCAGGCAGAGAAGGTATGATGGTAAAACATGCCCTGGACCATGCAGGGCCAAAGAGGTCTACCTCTCGGATATGTAGAACTGCATGTTGACAAAAAGGACCCTAAGCCATGCCAGTGTACTTTCAATGAGAAAAGAAGGTGGTTATAAAAATGTTCTCCAGCACAGTTCCAAACTCATAGTGCAGAAACCCCTCGATGTTGCCAACTCGCAGTCACAACCGCTTAATGCCCTGTCGCAGAAAGCGGATATAGCTGTGTTTTGTTATCGGAGGAACGTGGACTCCTCCTTCCTAGTTCTTGATGCATCCCTTGCCAGTAAAAACATACTGTTTAGAGACACTAGGGATGCAAATTATTAAACAAAACACATATAGCTACCAGACAAGCATGCAGTCCTTTCACAGATGAAAACAAAATGAGTGGATTATCTCCTCATTTAACATTAGAAAGCTCATTTATTGAAATATCTCTTTCCTTTTACTAAATTTATAATACTGTGTGTAGCACTAGGTGTCTCCATGCAGTACAATACTCTTTACACACTGCAGATCTGTATGCATAATGCTGATTCTGTACGACAATCTCACAGCAGATCTTGTATATGGTGAAGGTTTGTCTTCACTCTGTGTCCTCAGCTTGTTTCTTTATTTTTTTACCATGCAGAAATCCCTGTGGTGTCTGTTGTATTGATGCCTTTCTCTGTTGCAATACCCTTAGGACTGAAATACTGTTTCTTAACCTTATTTATCCCTGTAAAAATGTTTCTGTTCCTGATGGATTATATAGTCTACACAACAAAGACATTCTGCCTAGTTAGACTCGGCAGATTGATCAACAGTTAGAATAGCTTCTATTGTGTATATAGTATAAGATGGCACAATCACTTTTTTTCTAATGTGTAATCTGTGCTGTTACTGAATAAATGTTTTCGTGTTCGATTAATCAAATTTTTTTTACATTGATTAATCGATTCCTTTCGATTAATTATAACGCACATACAGATCCAATTACATTGGCCTATACACATACATTAATGGAGTAGTAAAATGAACTAGGATCACACTAATCCAGCACATTATTAATCTGACGTGCCCACTCAATATGGCCGCCACTTGAGTGGGGCAACTCAGAATAATAACGTGCTGGATTAGTGTGATCCTAGTTTATTTTATTACTTCATTGCTTTGCTGTATGTGTATAGGCCAATACCTTGGCTGGCGCTCGTGCAGAAAGCTTCTTAGGCAAACTCACCGGCCCAAGTGGCTCCGTCGGCTAACAAAGGGAAGGGGGAGGAGTCCGGTGACATCACGGACATCGACGTCACCAGACTCCTTCCCCCTTCCCTTAGTTAGCCGACAGAGCCACTTGGGGACATCGACGTCACCTGACTCCTCCCCCCTTCCCTTCGTTAGCCGACGGAGCCACTTGGGGAAGGGGGGAGGAGTCCGGTGACGCCGATGTCCGTGACGTCACCGGATCTCTGACGGGATTCCCGGAAGCTGGGGGAGAGTTGAGTATTTTCATTAGCGATCAAAAAAAATGTAATCGATCAAAAAGATTAATGATTAATCGAGAAATGAATCGTTAATTTGCACAGCCCTAGTGTAATCCATTACATATCTGTTGGCATATGCCACTAAAACAGGCAGCTTGTGCACAGATGGCAACGTTACTAGGCTAGGGGAATTTTGGTTAAAACATTGACAGACTTTCTAAGAATAGTCTTTGTTTCTGATTGTAGTACTCCCAGAAGGAGGACAAATATGAAGAGGAAATCAAGGTTCTCACAGACAAACTGAAGGAGGTAAGTTTTTTTTTGTTTATGGCTTATTTCTTCCTTGTACAAGTTTTTGTACACCTTTTTGGAGACTTAACCATTGCCCTTTTCTTCCTCCCTCAGGCTGAGACACGTGCTGAGTTTGCAGAGAGGACAGTAGCCAAGTTGGAAAAGACCATTGATGATTTAGAAGGTATGATTTTTTTTTTTCCTTCCTCTTCTTTCAGATGGTGGAAGACATCATAGTTTCAGTTGTGACACACAGGAAGCTTCTTTAGAAAAACCATAAATGTTTTGTAAATGTCAACATTGTGCAGTGATTATGATTTATGTGATTTGCATTGAGAATCGGAGAAATGTAAAGGATGTATCCTGGTAAGGAGTGAAATACCTATTAGTCATTTGGATGAGTTTGTGTTGTGAAGGTTCTGCTTCAACATGGTGTATCTTTCAGTGTCCAGATATTGTGGTAATGTTAGAAATATCTATAGTCTAATTTCAAGACTTGGAAAACATTTTTTTTTTTCTTGGCATACAGTAGTTTCCTAAATAGGCAATGCAGTTGCCTCTTCTACTGCTAATCTGTCTTTCTTTTCTCCTTTTTTTTATTTTATTTATATACAATCTGTTATCTCATGCCGGGCCTTCACTCCTTCTCCACGCGCTGTCTGCTTCTTCACCCTGTGCCTTGGATGGTGTTGCGAACGCTGGACTTCTTTGCATCCTTTACTCTACTTCATCTGGTTTCCTCTCCTCAACATATCCTTATTTGTTGTCCTTTTTGTGTTCTCCTCCCTCCATATACCTTTCTTCCCTTTTTACAAACCTCCTTCCCCTATCTTTTCTATGATATATTTTTTTTGTCTGTCCACCCTCGTTTTCCCGTTCAATCTCTCTTCCCACCTTCCCTCCGAGCAGATGAACTGTATGCCCAGAAACTGAAGTACAAAGCCATCAGTGAAGAACTGGATCACGCTCTCAATGACATGACTTCAATGTAAATTTTTCTTTCTACGTGTTTGCTTTTGTTCGTACCTTCTCTGCTCGCTTAATAAAACTCACGTCCTACCCTTACACCATCAACCTTTATTTTATTTGCTCACCTTTCTGGCTTACTTTTTTCTCACTGACATTTTACTTCTGTTTAGACAACTGGCAACCTCTCTTTTAATTCTGATTTAAATAATCTGAGTGACTAATCCTACAAATTCACTACTTTTAAATTAAATGTTATGAGAGTGGCTTCTGGACCACTAAAACTCAAGTTAATATCAAGGGTTACTAAAGCCAGTGTTAAACAGATGTAATCTCTGCTTTTTCTCATTTGTTTTACTTACTTTTTAATTTTCTATGTTTTTGCTTCTTTTTTTTTTTTTTCTTTACAAAAATGTATCGTTCTCATTGCGCACTAATTTTGAACAAGACAATGATGTCAAAGTGAATGCAATATTTCAGTCATCAATGGCTCCTCTCAATGTGGTTTTGTTTAGTTCCAATGCAGTGGCAATCTTTGTAATGTGGCGTCTGTTATGTAGTCATTCATGTATATGTATGCCTACTAGAAGAGGTAGGGGATGTAGGTCCAAAGTATGTAATTCCTGCATTCTGCAAATCTATGTAACTATATATTTTACCTGAATATATAGATGAGAAAAGGCAGCTGGATGCACCTATTACCTGGCGTGTTTGTAGTTAGGTTGCATTAGCTAGCTCTGTGTCTGTTGTCACTGATGTCTTAGTATGGTGCCTGACTGTGGCTCTTTCGTTTTGTCCATTTTTTTAAATGCAGGGGGAAAAAAAAGGGTTTTCATAATTATGGGAAAACACACGCCATATTAAGATATAATTAAAAAAATATATTTATACTTATCTTTTTCATCAATGTAGTTTAATACTATGCCCTGGCATGTTAAGCAACTACGTGGCAGCGGTTTAGACATTGTAGTACTGTCATCTGCAGTACCGTCACCTGTACCTTCGTCTGTCGTGCTTCATTTTTAAGTGAAATATGTTACATTGCTACTTTTACTGTTTTTTTTTTTTTTTTTTTTTTTTTTTTTTTTTTTTTTTGTTATTTTAA